AATGACTGCTTGGTAAAAGGTTGAAGCCGATTCAGATAAAATGAAAGTTATGTAAATAAAAAAAGACTACATTTAAACTGACAGTGACTTTTTTTTTTTATATATTGTAAAAAAAATAAAATTTTCAAATTATTGTATGTGGGTTCATTAAAGAAATTAAGTTTGATGCATCTATAAAAACTCAGAGAAATAATTCTAATCATATAGTTTATGTAATACTGTGTTTAGTCCTAATCATAATATTATAGTTTATGTAATATTGTGTTTAGTCCTAATCATAATATTATAGTTTATGTAATATTGTGTTTAGTCCTAATCATAATATTATAGTTTATGTAATATTGTGTTTAGTCCTAATCCTAATCATATAGTTTATGTAATACTGTGTTTAGTCCTAATCATATAGTTTATGTAATAAGGACTAAACACAGTATTACATAAACTATAACATTATGATTAGGACTAAACACAGTATTACATAAACTATAACATTATGATTAGGACTAAACACAGTGTTACATAAACTATAACATTATGATTAGGATTAAACACAGTATTACATAAAGCTATAACATTATGATTAGGACTAAACACAGTATTACATAAACTATAACATTATGATTAGGACTAAACACAGTATTACATAAACTATAACATTATGATTAGGACTAAACACAGAAATAGCAACAGTAAAGGAAGCACATGAAATACCAACCTGTCAGATATCCTCCAAAGGCCAGTGATGAAATGGGGCACGAGAGGCTGTGACATGCTGAAACTGGTGGGAGGAGATGCAAAAACAGAAAAATGTATGGTCAGGTTCATCCAAAGAAGAATAGACGAGACGAACGAGTTGGTAAACTGAACCAGCTAAAGTAGGCGAGGACAAGCCCTGAGAGAGAAGGAACTCTACCACAGTAAAAGTAGAAGATTGTGATTTCCATGAAAAAGAACAGTCTGAGTAAGATGGCAACAGTCAGCCTATACAGGACACAAAGATGATTGGCATTGGAGCTATCGTATAATGATTAAGTAGAGAGGAGAAAGTTGGGAAACAAAATCTAATCATGCTACCAGGCATCCCAAGTCATCAGAAGTAAGAAATCAACTGGAAACAACAACCAGTTCCTAAGATAGAGAGTATGAGAGGCATCTAGCTTAAATGCCTAAAAGAAAATGACCACAAGCAAAGAAAATAAGAAACTACATCTTGAGAGACAAATGATATGAAAAACAGGAAGCCAATGGCTCAAAGGGAAACAAGCAAGAGCCCAAAGAACCACACAAAAGTCCCAGTAGGAGAGAGGGACTGTACATGGGAGGGAGGGCAAAAAGAAGGAATAATTGCCTGTCAAGAAGCAGAAGGTTATGGACAATGCCCTGCAGTATAACATTATGATTAGGACTTAACATGTTATTACCCAAACTATAACATTATGATTAGGACTAAACACAGTATTACATAAATTATAACATTATGATTAGGACTAAACACAGTATTACATAAATTATAACATTATTATCAAAGAAATGAGCTCATCTTTGTAATTGATGAGCACACGCTTTTCCACCATTTTCAGTGTGGGATTTTAGCTCTTAGTGGTACAGAGAGATAAGTAACATTTCTGAAGTTAACATTTTTATTACCTGAAAATTTATTTTGGAGAGTTACCCCTCTGCACCACTTTCCCACCCTTCCTCCACATTTCTGGTGCATTTTCCTTGTCTTGTCAAGAATGATCGTATGCTAGTGCTCGTGGGATTACCATCCACAGAGGTCAAGTCACCCTCCTGTTGGTGGAGGGTTATAACATTATGACTATTACATGATGAGGTGGCATGAGCATATTACATGTGAGGTAATAGCTCTTCGTGGTGCAAAGAGGTAAGTACTTATCTGAAATACATTTTCATGTAAGGAAAATGCTAATTTTTCTCAGCGAGATTCACTTAAAACACAATATTTGGTTACTGAACCAAAGATTTATCTCTGCACAAAAGTATCCATCCAACTGAGTGGATGTTTTATGATTGGTTTGAATGTGTGGTCTTGTTGATATACAAGGCTTTCTTTCGTTCTCATTTATTCAATAAGCATCATCAACATAAAACTTTAAAATGTTCTTACAGGTGAAGAGATACAATGGATAAGTAATTCCTATTTATGGCAGACTGTTTTTGAAGCTATGAGTATGTTATTGTACCTTAAATGTAAATAAATTAATGATTGTGTACACTAAGTCACAATTATAAATTAGTCACAAGACATAGGATTAAACTTGTTTAGGAATAATTTTCCTTCTTAGGGCAATCTAATTACTATACCCTAATGAAAATATGATTACACACTTACGTGGTGTCAAGGTATAACTGTAGCAGTATAGTTTCCATTCCATAATGCCTTGTCTGAGGTTTTAATGTCCAAAGCACATCACTTATCCCTGATTGCCTTTCATAATCCACCTAGTATATAAAGTGGTTTCCCAATGCAAATTTCAGTAGTCCATTCACAAAAAAATACATAGGTGTTACATCTGACAACTTGACTTGTATTTCTTCTTATGGAATAGAATAAATACATGTTTCTTTCTCCAGTTGCTTGAGGTATGACTGGAAGCCTTACCTTGGTGAACCCATATCCTGTTAGCTATGTTTCCATACTGAGATCCTTCTTGATGACATTGCATAATGCTGCTTGGGATACATGAACGACTTTTTCCACTGACCTTTATTTTTGTGGTTTTTCACCTTTTGCTCTTACCATGTCTATGGTATGACTTATTGC